GAAAAATATGCTGTATAAAACATTTAATAAAAAGAAAATAAAAGACACTGAAACAAAATATAAAAGGTACAAAAATGTATTAACTATAATACAGGCTTGTAAGAAAGAAAACTTTGCAAAGCAGTTGGAACTGAACAGAAATAACGTAAAGGGAATTTGGAAATTAATAAATGAAATTTTAAGTAACAAACCTAAATCTAATAACTACCGTAAATATTTTATCCATGACAATAAGGATGTAAATAATATGAATGAGGCAGCAGATGATTTCAACCTTTTCTTTGGAAACGTTGGCCCAGAATTGACTGGAAAAATGTCATCACCATGTTTAGTGGAAAGTGAACAGTTAATACAAAGAAATCCAAATTCTTTATTCAGCCTGTGGATGAAATTGAAGTAATTAACATTGTTATGATTTGTAAAAGTTGTAATGACTGTAATGATGTAGACATGGCCTCGATAAAACAAACAATAAATGAGATTGATAAACCTTTAGCTCATATTTTTAATTGATCATTTCAGACAGGCACTGTCCCAAAAACATGAAAACAGCAAAAGTCATAGCATTATTTAAATCAGGAAACAAGCATCACTTCACTAATTACAGGCCAGTATCATCGCTATGTCAATTTTCAAACATTTTGGAAAAACTTTATAATAATAGGCTGGATCAATATGGTTTCACAGATTGATTGCGCTCGCTTCCCTGGACTCTACTGAAGATTACAAATCGTATAGATAATAAAAAAATAGTCACCGGGCTGTTCGTAGATAAAAAAAAAAAAAAGTTATAATTTATGGGAACCTTTGAATAAACTTATCACATAAAAAAAAAAAGGAAAAGAAAATAAAATATTCTAATGTTTGTTGAGCAACACTATTTATGAACTCTGTTTGGGTATTTTGACCAGTATTTAGAATCAACATTTTGATTAGGTGCACTTGTCTTTAATGACATGACTGAATGTGTTTTGTTAATTGTAGGATTAAGAATTCATTATATTAATTATGAATAGTTAATTATACAAATTATTCACAGCTGTTTAATGGTTAATGCCATGATTATGTATATTTTCCCCATGTAGGTTACACAAGCGTTGATTTAATTAGTTTTATTGTTAAATTATAATAGTAACAAGGTTACTTGTTTTGAATGAAATACTTATTTGTGTTTTGGGGCTTCTAGGTCAGGATGGTTTTAACCGTCTCCAGGCAGGCGTTGTAGATTTGTAACAGCTAAATGCCAATTACCTACTTACTCCACATCTATATTTTATGAGCTTTTTTTACTCAGGAGCCTTTTTTTCCATCCATGCTGATAAACATGGATGATGCAGACTGTGTGAGAACGACTACACACAAACGACCTGCCAGAAGTGCAAAGTACTTTTGTTGTTTACAAAGGATAAAAATTGTTTCTTGGAGCAACACATGAAAAAGTGATGTTGTTGTGCCGCTGTAAAACTGTTACTCTGAACTTTATGTTTTCATTGTTATGAAAAGTGGTGAACACATAAAGTTAGTGTTCAGATCATTTTCAGTCTTCAGTGTTAATTTACCACCGGACCAAATCTGCAACATCCCAGACGCACTGATGTGAAGGTCTCTCAAAAAAAAAGTCAGGATTGTATATTACTGCCCCATATGATCATTTTCCCCAAATATCAGATTTTTTTTTGTTACTAATATTAAATTTGAGCCTGAGAGGGTTAAACAGGAATCCCCATCCCAGATTTATCGTCTGTAGTGATATTATTTATTTGCTGTGAAGATTGGCCTCATACAAAGTAATAAAACCCGAATGACGATGGCTGCGCACACTTCTGACAGACGATCAATAGAGACTGTCTCAAGAAGCACAGCCCCGTCCCACTACAGTGTTTCCTCTCTGTCCCAAACCTGTCCCCGCCCCTGTCCACTGTGCACCTGTCCACTGTGCACCTGTCCACTGTGCACCTGTCCACTGTGCCCCTGTCCCTGTCCACTGTGCACCTGTCCACTGTGCACCTGTCCACTGTGCTCCTGTCCACTGTGCTCCTGTCCACTGTGCCCCTGTCCACTGTGCTCCACTGTGCTGTCCACTGTGCACCTGTCCACTGTGCACCTGTCCACTGTGCACCTGTCCACTGTGCACCTGTCCACTGTGCTGTCTGTCCTGTCCCTGTCCCTGTCTGTGCCACTGTGCCCTGTCCACTGTGCTGTCCACTGTGCTCCTGTCCACTGTGCACTGTCCACTGTGCACCTGTCCACTGTGCCCTGTCCACTGTGCACCTGTCCCACTGTCCTGTCCACTGTGCACCTGTCCACTGTGCTCCTGTCCACTGTGCTCCTGTCCACTGCGCCACTGTCCACTGTCCCTGTCCACTGTGCTCCTGTCCACTGTCCACCTGTCCACCCGTCCACTGTGCACCTGTCCACTGTTGCTCCTGTCCACTGTCGCCACTGTCCACTGTGCTCCTGTCCACTGTGCTCCTGTCCACTGCGCACCTGTCCCCACCCCTGTCCACTGCGCTCCTGTCCCACTGCCTCCTGTCCACTGTCCACTGTCCACTGTGCCACCTGTCCACTGTGCACCTGTCCACTGTGCACCTGTCCACTGTCCCCACCCCTGTCCACTGTCGCACCTGTCCACTGTGCCACTGTCCACTGTCGCACCTGTCCACTGTGCTCCTGTCCACTGCGCTCCACCTGTCCCACTGTGCCCCTGTCCACTGTGCACCTGTCCACTGTGCTCCTGTCCCTGTGCACCCCTGTCCACTGCGCACCTGTCCACTGTCCTGTCCACTGTCCACTGTGCCACTGTGTCCACTGTGCTCCTGTCCACTGTGCTCCTGTCCACTGCCCACTGTGTCCCCACCCCTGTCCACTGTGCACTGCTCCTGTCCACTGTGCTCCTGTCCACTGTGCACTGTCTGTCCACTGCGCTCCTGTCCACTGTGCACTCCTGTCCACTGCGCTCCTGTCCACTGCTCCTGTCCACTGTGCTCCTGTCCCCACCCCTGTCCACTGTGCACCTGTCCACTGTGCTCCTGTCCCTGTCCACTGTGCTCCTGTCCACTGTGCACCTGTCCCCACCCCTGTCCACTGTGCCTGTCCACTGTCGTCCACTGCGCTCCTGTCCACTGTGCTCCTGTCCACTGCACCCCCTGTCCACTGTGCTGTCCTGTCCACTGTGTCCACTGTGTCCACTGTGCACCTGTCCACTGCGCTGTCCACTGTGCCTGTCCACTGTCCACTGTCGCACCTGTCACTGTGGCTCCTGTCCACTGTCCACTGTGCTCCTGTCCACTGTCCACTGTGCCTGTCCACTGTGCTCCTGTCCCCACTGTCCCTGTCCACTGTGCACCTGTCCACTGTGCTCCTGTCCACTGTGCCCTGTCCACTGTGCACCTGTCCACTGTGCTCCTGTCCACTGTCACCCCTGTCCACTGTGTGTCACCTGTCCACTGTGCTCCTGTCCCCACTGCCACTGTCCACTGCGCTCCTGTCCACTGTGCGCACCTGTCCACTGTCCACTGCACCTGTCCACTGTGCTCCTGTCCCTGTCACCCCTGTCCACTGTGCACCTGTCCACTGTGCGCTCCTGTCCACTGCGCACCTGTCCACTGTGCACCCTGTCCACTGCGCACCTGTCCACTGTGCTCCTGTCCGTCACTGTCCTGTCCACTGTGCTCCTGTCCACTGTGCTCCTGTCCCACTGCGCACCTGTCCACTGTGCGCTCCTGTCCACCACTGCCCCTGTCCACTGTGCCACTGTGTCCACTGTGCTCCTGTCCCTGTCCCCTGTCCACTGCGCTCCTGTCCACTGTCCACCTGTCCACTGTGCTCCTGTCCACCACTGTGCTGTCCACTGTGCCACTGTGCACCTGTCCACTGTGCTCCTGTCCACTGTGCACCTGTCCACTGTGCTCCTGTCCACTGTGCACCTGTCCTGTCACCTCTGTCCACTGTGCTCCTGTCCCACTCTGTCCACTGTGCCCTCCTGTCCACTGTGCTCCTGTCCACTGTGCTCCTGTCCACTGTGCACTGCTGTCCACTGTGCTCCACTGTCCTGCCACTGTGTCCACTGTGCCCACTGTCCACTGTCCCTCCTGTCCACTGCGCACCTGTCCACTGCGCACCTGTCCACTGTCTCCTGTCCACTGTGCTGTCCTGTCCCCACTCTGTCCACTGCTCCACCTGTCCACTGTGCTCCTGTCCACTGTGCCCTCTGTCCACTGTCCACTCCTGTCCACTGTGCTCCTGTCCCCTGTCCTGTCCACTGTGCACCTGTCCACTGTGCACCTGTCCACTGTGCTCCTGTCCCCACCTGTCTGTCCACTGCGCACCTGTTCCACTGTGCTCCTGTCCACTGTGCTCCTGTCCCTGTCACCTGTCCACTGTGCTCCTGTCCACTGTGCACCTGTCCACTGTGCCACTGTGCTGTCCACACTGTGCACCTGTCCACTGTGCACCTGTCCACTGTGCACCTGTCCACTGTCCACTGCGCTCCCTGTCCACTGTTGTCCACTGCTGTCCACTGTGTTCCTGTCCACTGCGCACCTGTCCACTGTGCTCCTGTCCACTGTGCACCTGTCCACTGTGCTCCTGTCCACTGTGCTCCTGTCCACTGTCACTGTGTCCACTGTGCACCTGTCCACTGTGCTCCTGTCCACTGTGTCCTGCCACCTGTCCACTGTGCACCTGTCCACTGTGCTCCTGTCCACTGTGCTCCTGTCCACTGTGCACCTGTCCACTGTGCTCCTGTCCCTGTCCACTGTGCACCTGTCCACTGTGCTCCTGTCCACTGTGCTCCTGTCCACTGTGCTCCTGTCCCCTGTGTCCACTGCGCTCCTGTCCACTGTGCACCTGTCCACTGTGCTCCTGTCCACTGCGCACCTGTCCACTGCGCACCTGTCCACTGCGCTCCTGTCCACTGCGCTCCTGTCCACTGTGCACCTGTCCACTGTGCACCTGTCCACTGTGCACCTGTCCCCGCCCCTGTCCACTGTGCACCTGTCCCCGTCCCTGTCCACTGTGCTCCTCCTCTATCTCGTTCTGTCCAGTCGGCTCCCAGTCCATGGGCTCGTCGTTGTTGCTTGATGCAGGTGAGTCTCTCTCTTTACGTATCTTCTGAAAGTGTGAAATAGAAAATAGTTCATGAAATTCATCTCGGTCTAAAGGCCCCATGTATTATATATTTGAGCAACATGTGTCTTGTTCTAGGACAGATACACTGCAAATGATTTAAAATGAACTGCTTACACATGTTTACCTAAGAAAAATCAGGTACAGCAACTTTAACCATTAGCTCTGGCAATTTGTCAAGTCAAATGTAAGGAAACCAAAGGCAGGGTTTGGAATGGTGTTTATGTAAATGTGCTTAATAAACTTTAATTTAATTTGTTTCAAAACTGCAGGTAAAAGATAAAGCACCTTTTGCCCTCCTTTTTCATGGGTCTCTTTGCTCTCTGGTGCTGGGGAATGTGTTGTATCTCTGTAGATGAGCAGGTACGCAGTGGACGACCTGTAGACAGTTAATGCTCATTTAAACAAAAACTCTACACACACAAAAGGTCACTTTGTCCATCTGACTTACTTTTTGGTTGGCATTTCAACCTGTAACAAGGAAATTGGAATGTTAATTTTTGTGTGATTTGAGATCATTAAAAAGCTAATATCCATTAAGGGCATTGGTCAAACACCGCTCATTTCTAGTCTGACATGTTGAGCAATTTATCACAGTCTTGTCTGCTCTCTCTGTAACCAGCGGCTTTTTGCTTGGACATTTTTAAGTGAGTCCAGAGAGAACTGATGCTTGGTTGTGGCTAGTAACAGCATCTAAATAAAAAGGCAGTGCCTCATCACACACAGGACCCGGGGATGGGCCCATGTAGTGTTCAACAACAGCCATATTAGCCCCAGCACAGCACAGTTAAAGTTGGCAGAAACATGGCAATACAATGCCACACACTCCCACACACTCCTACACTCATGGAGCATGACACCTAGTTACATGTATGCACCTTATCGTCTCCTAAAGTGAGCCTCATCTCATGTCCATGCCAGGCCTGGCACCTGACCAGCGTCTGATGTCAGGGGTGAGTGGGGGGGTGGAGGAGCAAACACAGAAAGAAATGCCCCATTTATACATGTGTATTTTGGGTGTAAACCACACTGCTATACATACATTATCAGTTTCTCTTTGTATGACCTGGTGACTTCCTGAAATGATCTATATAAAACCTCCATCCATTTTCTTCCTCTTATCCGGGGTCGGATTGCGGGGGTATCAGTCTGAGCAGGGACTCCCAGACTTCCATTTGTGCTGCTTGTATCCACGATTTAAATTTTTTTTTTAGATTGCAGATCTAAAAAACCTTTACAGCATAATTCCACAATAACCTTAATACTTTACCTCCTTCACATATGTGTCACTGATGTAGTACCAGCGTCTGTCCTTAGACTTGACTGTGGCTGTGTAGTGTCCTCCATGCAGTTCTCCGCTGTGATCCACCACTCCACACAGAGAGTACGAGAGATCCTAAACACAGGTAACACTGTTAGTGATGGAGGAATAAGAGGATGTACCTGCCTCTGCACTGCTGCTCCTCACTGGTCAGAACACTCTGGAGGGGCGGGGTCCATTATGGTCACGTCCACCACTGTATACACTGTACTTCTGCAGCCTCCTGCTGTTTTCTTGGCTGCTTCCCCAACACACTGCCCCATAAAAGAGGCACTAGCCATGACAGTGTGATTAAGATCAGCTCCTCATGAACTCAGGCTGCAGAAAAAAGCAGCTTTCAGAGTATGGATTTAGCAAGAAGGTGTCAAGGGCCAGATACCAAAACAACAAATGAGCAGCATTTCTCTGCTAATGACTCTGCCACTGTCTGGAGAGGGCTGAAACACATCACCAACTTGACCTGAAACTTAACAGCTTCTATTGACCATAGATCTGTGACCCTGACATCTGTAGTCATGAAGACTTTTGAACCTATTGTCCTGTCCCACCTCAAGTCCATCACCTCCCCCCTCCTGGATTCACTGCTATTCACCTACAGAACCAACAGGTCTGTAGAGGATGTCGTAAAACTGACTCTTCCCTTCATCCTGCAGCACCTGGACTCCCTGCAAACCTACACCAGCTTTCAACACCACCCTCTCTGTTGTGCCTAAAACCACCTGAGGGGAGCACATGTGGCTGGGGAAGAAAGTCTCGGACACACAGGACATAAGCACAGGACTCCACAGGGCTGTGGACTTTCCCCTGCTCTTCAGACAGACTGCAGCATTTTGTGGGCTCCAGGTCTAGAAGGCAGAACCTCTTGCCACAACAACAGTTTCTAACCGTCTGCTGTTGGGCTCATGAACACTCTATAGTACCTGTCACATTAAACAACTGTAATCTATTCAATTAAAGTCTATTTCTTATTTCTGTGTCTTTGTTCATTGTCATTAGCAATAAAACTGATTCTGACTAACATCAAATGGCCTCAGCTCCTCACAACCTCAAAGTTCTCTCCCTGAATGCTGACTGAGGAGTCAAATTTGTCCTCCTGAACTCTAACCCATCCCCTTCATGTTTAGAATGAGACAGTTGTCCCCACAGCACTGGCTGAAGATGTTGATGAGGTTGGTGTATTCTCCCTCCTGTCCATTCTTTAGACACACCACTACACCCATATCATCCTAATACTTTTGGATGTCACAGGACTCAGAGTTGTACTTAAAATCAGCAGTGTGTGTCAAGAAATGGCACCAGAACCGTACTTTGTGGTGTTTCTGTGCTGCTCAGTTCTCTACCAGACTCAGTCTGCCAGGTTGACAAACTATGACGGCGCTCATTAATGCAGCCTTAAATTGCTGTACATCATTATTTTCTGAAGAGTATGATAAATGCACTGTATATTTGTTCATTTCTCTTTGTTTTTCATCAACTCAATCAACCAACATTTTTTAGTCAGTCTTGATCAGATATAGTTGCTCATTTCTGCTGGGAGATCAACTTTCTTATTGAGAGAAAACATGATGAAAGTGTTTGGCAGAGTGTACAGAAACATCTGTGCAGAGTACAGGCTGGAGACCCCAGGATCAAGGTGGGAAACACCTCCAAAGGTTGTGGAGAACGATCGGGCCAACCAACCAGACATGGTGATGCTGGATAAGCAAAAGATCAAAGTCATGGTGGTGGACATCGCAATACCAAGAGATGGTAATAATGGTATAATATAGTAATAAAAAGGAACCCAAAAAACTAGAGGGACTCAAAGAAGAGCTGGAGAGAGCCTGGAAGGTGAAGGCATCAGTGGAGCCTGTGGTGATCAGACACTCGGGGCTGTAACCCTCAAACTGGAAGAAACTACAACAGATACAGGAAAAACAACAAACATCTCAGTCCAGAAAAGAACAGGACAGGGAACAGCAAAGATACTGAAGAACTGTCAGACTCCCAGACTCTGGAGGAGCCCAGCTGGATGACGGGGAGACCACCAACAGATGATGAAGAAGAGATTTTTTATATATATAATATTCAAATTTTACCTTCAAAACAAGCTATATTTGGAGTATTTGTTCTTTTGGGTTAAGATTAAAATGAATGAACCTTCCATTCCATTCATTTTCTTCCGCTTATCTAAGCAGTCTAAGCAGGGACTCCCAGACTTCCTTTCCACACACACGTCCTCCAGCTCCTCCTGGGGGGACCCCGAGGCGTTCCCAGGCCAGTCTAGAGACATAGTCCCTCCAGTGTGTCCTGGGTCTTCCCCGGGGCCTCCTCCCGGCGGGACATGCCCAGAACACCTCCCGAGGGAGGCGCCCAGGAGGCATCCGGAACAGATGCCCGAGCCTCAACTGGCTCCTCTCGACGTGGAGGAGCAGCGGCTCTACTCCGAGCTCCTCCCGTGTGACTGAGCTCCTCACCCTATCTCTAAGGGAGACGCCCAGACACCCTGCGGAGGAAACTCATTTCGAGCGCTTGTATCCGCGATCTCGTCCTTTCGGTCACTACCCAGAGCTCATGACCATAGGTGAGAGTAGGAATGAAGACTGACCGGTAAATCGAGAGCTTCGCCTTTCGACTCAGCTCCCTCTTCACCACAACGGTCCGATACAGCGACCGCATCACTGCCGAAGCTGCACCGATCCGCCTGTCAATCTCACGTTCCGTCCTCCCCTCACTCGTGAACAAGACCCCGAGATACTTGAACTCCTCCACTTGAGGCAGGGACTCTTCCACCCACCCGGAGAGGGCAAGACGCCTTTTTCCGGTCAAGAACCATGTCCTTGGATTTGGAGGAGCTGATCTTCATCCCAGCCGCTTCACACTCGGCTGCAAACCGCCCCAGTGCACATTGCAGGTCCTGGTTCGATGAAGCCAACAGGACAACATCGTCCGCAAACAGCAGAGATGAAATCCTGTGGTCCCCAAACCGGACCCCCTCCGGCCCCCTGACTGCACCTAGAAATTCTGTCCATAAAAACAATGAACAGAACCGGTGACAAAGGGCAGCCCTGGCGGAGTCCAACATGCACCGGGAACAGGTCTGACTTACTGCCGGCAATGCAAACACAGCTCCTGCTCCGGTCATACAGGGACCGGACAGCCCTTAGCAAAGGGCCCCGGACCCCATACTCCCAGAGCACCCCCCACAGGACACCACGAGGGACACGGTCGAATGCCTTCTCCAGATCCACAAAGCACATGTGGACTGGTTGGGCAAACTCCCATGAACCCTCGAGCACCGATGGAGAGTGTAGAGCTGGTCCAGTGTTCCACGGCCAGGACGAAAACCACACTGCTCTGGAATCCGAGGTTCGACTATCGGCCGGATTCTCCTCTCCAGTACCCTGGCATAGACCTTACCGGGAAGGCTGAGGAGTGTGATCCCCCTATAGTTGGAACACACCCTCCGGTCCCCCTTCTTATACAGAGGGACCACCACCCCGGTTTGCCAGTCCAGAGGTACTGTCCCCGACCGCCACGCGATGTTGAAGAGGCGTGTCAGCCAAGACCCACAACATCCAGAGACTTAAGGTACTCAGGACGGATCTCATCCAACCCCGGAGCCTTGCCACCAAGGAGCTTTAACCACCTCAGTGACTTCAGCCAGGNATGAGCAGGTACACAGTGGACGACCTGTAGACAGTTAATGCTCATTTAAACAAAAAACTCTACACACACAAAAGGTCACTTTGTCCATCTGACTTACTTTTTGGTTGGCATTCAACCTGCAACAAGGAAATTGAATGTTACTTTTTTATGACTGTAATTCTGTGTGAGCTTTGAGATAAACAGAGTGGCTGAAGCACCATTAAAAAGCTAATATCCATTAAGGGCATTGGTCAAACACCGCTCATTTCTAGTCTGACATGTTGAGCAATTTATCACAGTCTTGTCTGCTCTCTCTGTAACCAGCGGCTTTTTGCTTGGACATTTTTAAGTGAGTCCAGAGAGAACTGATGCTTGGTTGTGGCTAGTAACAGCATCTAAATAAAAAGGCAGTGCCTCATCACACACAGGACCCGGGGATGGGCCCATGTAGTGTTCAACAACAGCCATATTAGCCCCAGCACAGCACAGTTAAAGTTGGCAGAAACATGGCAATACAAAGCCACACACTCCCACACACTCCTACACTCATGGAGCATGACACCTAGTTACATGTATGCACCTTATCGTCTCCTAAAGTGAGCCTCATCTCATGTCCATGCCAAGCCTGGCACCTGACCAGCGTCTGATGTCAGGGGTGAGTGGGGGGGTGGAGGAGCAAACACAGAAAGAAATGCCCCATTTATACATGTGTATTTTGGGTGTAAACCACACTGCTATACATACATTATCAGTTTCTCTTTGTATGACCTGGTGACTTCCTGAAATGATCTATAAAAACCTCCATCCATTTTCTTCCACTTATTGGGACCAAGTAAGAGACATAGTCATCCAGCGTTTCTGAGTCTTCCCGGGGACCTCCTTCTGGTGGGAGGGAGGTGCCCAGGAGGCATCAGAACAGATGCCTCGTGACATGGAGGAGCAGCGGCTCTACTCCGAGCTCCCTCCCGTTTGACTGAGCTCATCACCCTATCTCTAAGGGAGCGCCCAGCCACCCTGCGGAGGAAACTCATTTGTGCCGCTTGTATCCACAATTTTTTTTTTTTTTTTTTTTTGGATGCAGATCTAAAAAACTTTGCAGCATAATTCTACAATAACCTTAATACTTTACCTCCTTCACATATGTGTCACTGATGTAGTACCAGCGTCTGTCCTTAGACTTGACTGTGGCTGTGTAGTGTCCTCCATGCAGTCCTCCGCTGTGATCCACCACTCCACACAGAGAGTACGAGAGATCCTAAACACAGGTAACACTGTTAGTGATGGAGGAAGTAAGAGGATGTACCTGCCACTGCTCTGGGGGGGGGCACGTCCACCACCATATACACTGTACTTCTGCAGCCTCCTGCTGTTTTCTTGGCTGCTTCCCCAACACACTGCCCCATAAAAGAGGCACTAGCCATGACAGTGTGATTAAGAGCAGCTCCTCATGAACTCAGGCTGCAGAAAAGCAGCTTTCAGAGATGGGGACAGAAATTGGCTACAGAGGAGCTAAGTATGGATTTAGCAAGAAGGTGTCAAGGGCCAGATGCCAAAACAGCAGGCGAGCAGCATTTCTCTGCTAACGACTCTGCCACTGTCTGGAGAGGGGCTGAGGCACATCACCAACTTGACCTGAAACTTAACAGCTTCTATTACTGACATAGATCTATGACCCTGACATCTGTAGTCACGAAGACTTTTGAACCTATTGTTCTGTCCCACCTCAAGTCCATCACCTCCCCCTTCCTGGATTCACTGCTATTCACCTACAGAACCAACAGGTCTGTAGAGGATGTCGTAAACCTGGCTCTTCCCTTCATCCTGCAGCACCTGGACTCCCTGCAAACCTACACCAGCTTTCAACACCACCCTCTCTGTTGTGCCTAAAACCACCTGAGGGGAGCACATGTGGCTGGGGAAGAATATTTCGGACACACAGGACATAAGCACAGGACTCCACAGGGCTGTGGACTTTCCCCTGCTCTTCAGACAGACTGCAGCATTTTGTGGGCTCCAGGATTTCAGGGAACCTCTTGCCACAACAACAGTTTCTAACCGTCTGCTGTTGGGCTCATGAACACTCTATAGTACCTGTCACATTAAACAACTGTAATCTATTCAATTAAAGTCTATTTCTTATTTCTGTTTCTTTGTTCATTGACATTAGCAATAAAACTGATTCTGACTAACATCAAATGGCCTCAGCTCCTCACAACCTCAAAGTTCTCTCCCTGAATGCTGACTGAGGAGTCAAATTTGTCCTCCTGAACTCTAACTCATCCCCTTCATGTTTAGAATGAGACAGTTGTCCCCACAGCACTGGCTGAAGATGTTGATGAGGTTGGTGTATTCTCCCTCCTGTCCATTCTTTAGACACACCACTACACCCATATCATCCTAATACTTTTGGATGTCACAGGACTCAGAGTTGTACTTAAAATCAGCAGTGTGTGTCAAGAAATGGCACCAGAACCGTACTTTGTGTTTCTGTGCTGCTCAGTTCTCTACCAGACTCAGTCTGCCAGGTTGACAAACTATGACGGCGCTCATTAATGCAGCCTTTAAAAATTGCTGTACATCAATATTTTCTGAATGACAGTAATGAAGAGTATGATAAATGCACTGTATATTTGTTTGTTTCTCTTTGTTTTTCATCAACTCAATCAAATCAACATTTTTTGGTCAAATTCTTGATCAGATATAGTTGCTCATCTTCTGCTGGGAGATCAACTTTCGTATTGAGAGAAAACATGATGAAAGTGGCGGGCATAGTGTACAGAAACATCTGTGCAGAGTACAGGCTGGAGACCCCAGGATCAAGGTGGGAAACACCTCCAAAGGTTGTGGAGAACGATCGGGCCAACCAACCAGACATGGTGATGCTGGATAAGCAAAAGATCAAAGTCGTGGTGGTGGACATCGCAATACCAAGAGATGGTAATAATGGTATAATATAGTAATAAAAAGGAACCCAAAAAACTAGAGGGACTCAAAGAAGAGCTGGAGAGAGCCTGGAAAGTGAAGGCATCAGTGGTGCCTGTGGTGATCAGACACTCAGGGCTGTAACCCCCAAACTGGAAAGGACCACAAGAGATACAGAGAAAAACAACGGAACATCTCAGTCCAGACAAGTGCAGAACTGGGAACAGCAAAGATACTGAAGAACTCTCAGGCTCCCAGGCCTCTGGAGGAGCCCAAGCTGGATGACGGGGAGACCACCTACAGATGATGAAGAAGAGATTTTTTATATATATAATATTCTATATTTATATAAAACAAGCTATATTTGGAGTATTTGTCCTTTTGAGTTAGGATTAAAATGAATGAACCTTCCATTCCATTCCATTTTCTTCCGCTTAATCTAAGCAGTCTAAGCAGGGACTCCCAGACTTCCCTTTCCACGCACACGTCCTCCAGCTCCTCCGGGGGGACCCCGAGGTGTTCCCAGGCCAGCGAGAGACATAGTCCCTCCAGTGTGTCCTGGGTCTTCCCCGTGGCCTCCTCCCGGTGGAACATGCCCAGAACACCTCCCGAGGGAGGCGCCCAGGAGGCATCCGGAACAGATGCCCGAGCCTCAACTGGCTCCTCTCGACGTGGAGGAGCAGCGGTCCTACTCCGAGCTCCTCCCGTGTGACTGAGCTCCTCACTCTATCTCTAAGGGAGACGCCCAGCCACCCTGCGGAGGAAACTCATTTCAAGCGCTTGTATCCGCGATCTCGTCCTTTCGGTCACTACCCAGAGCTCATGACCAGAGGTGAGAGTAGGAATGAAGACTGACCGGTAAATCGAGAGCTTCGCCTTTCGACTCAGCTCCCTCTTCACCACAAACGGTCCGATACAGCGACCGCATCCACTGCCGAAGCTGCACCGATCCGCCTGTCAATCTCACATTCCGTCCTCCCTCACTCGTGAACAAGACCCCGAGATACTTGAACTCCTCCACTTGAGGCAGGGACTCTCCATCCTCCCGGAGAGGGCAAGCCACCTTTTTCCAGTCGAGAACCATGGCCTCGGATTTGGAAGAGCTGATCTTCATCCCAGACGCTTCACACTCGGGTCTGCAAACTGCCCCAGAGCACTGCAGGTCCTGGTTCGATGGAGCCAACAGGACAACATCATCCGCAAACAGCAGAGATGAAATCCTGTGGTCCCCAAACTGGACCCCCTCTGACCCCTGACTGCACCTAGAAATTCTGTCCATAAAAACAATGAACAGAACCGGTGACAAAGGGCAGCCCTGGTGGAGTCCAACATGCACCGGGAACAGGTCTGACTTACTGCCGGCAATGAACACAGCTCCTGCTCCGGTCATACAGGGACCGGACAGCCCTTAGCAAAGGGCCCCGGACCCCATACTCCCAGAGCACCCCCCACAGGACACCACGAGGGACTACGGTCGAATGCCTTCTCCAAGATCCACAAAGCACATGTGGACTGGTTGGGCAAACTCCCATGAACCCTCGAGCACCGATGGACAGTGTAGAGTCCAGTTCCACGGCCAGGACGAAAACCACACTGCTCCTCCTGGATCCGAGGTTCGACTATCGGCCGGATTCTCCTCTCCAGTACCCTGGCATAGACCTTACCGGGAAGGCTCAGGAGTGTGATCCCCCTATAGTTGGAACACACCCTCCGGTCCCCCTTCTTATACAGAGGGACCACCACCCCGGTTTGCCAGTCCAGAGGTACTGTCCCCGACCTCCACGCGATGTTGAAGAGGCGTGTCAGCCAAGACCCACAACATCCAGAGACTTAAGGTACTCAGGACGGATCTCATCCAACCCGGAGCCTTGCCACCAAGGAGCTTTAACCACCTCAGTGACTTCAGCCAGGTGATGGATGAGTCCGCCTCCGAGTCCCCAGCCTCGGCCTCCTCCTCGGAAGACGTGACGGTGGGATTGAGGAGATCCTCAAAGTTTTCCTTCCACCGCCGGACAACGTCCCCAGTCGAGGTCAGCAGCTCTCCCCCCGCACTGTAAACAGTGTTGGTGAAGAACTGTTTCCCCCTCCTGAGGCGCCGGACGGTTTGCCAGAATCTCTTTGAGGCCGTCCGATAGTCCTTCTCCATGGCCTCCCCGAACTCCTCCCAACCCAGAGTTTTTGTCTCTGTGACCACACGGGCTGCAGCACACTTGGCCCGTCGGTACCCGTCAGCTGCCTCAGGAGTCCCACGAGTGAACAAGGCCGATAGGACTCCTTCTTCAGCTTGAAGAGATCCCTTACTTCCGGTGTCCACCACCGGGTTCGGGGGTTGCCACCGCGACAGGCACCACAGACCTTACGCCCACAGCTCCGAGCAGCTGCACAGACAATGGAGGTGAAGAACAGAGCCCACTCAGACTCCATGTCCCTAGCCTCCCCCGGAATCCGGGAGAAGTCCTTCCGGAGGTGTGAGTTGAAAGTCCCTCTGACAGAGGCTCTGCCAGACGTTCCCCAACAGACCCTCACTACACGCTTGGGTCTGCCAGGTCTTTCCGGCTTCCTCCCTCACCAGCAAACCCAACTCACAACCAGGTGGTGATCAGTTGACAGCTCAGCCCCTCTCTTCACCCGAGTGTCCAAGACACGCGGCCGGAGATCAGATGACACGACGACAAAGTCGATCATCGACCTCCGGCCTAGAGTGTCCTGGTGCCACGTGCACTTATGGACACCCTTGTGCTCGAACATGGTGTTCGTTATGGACAAACTGTGACTAGCACAGAAGTCCAATAACAAAAACACCACTCGGGTTCAGATCAGGGAGGCCGTTCCTCCCAATCACCCCTCTCCAAGTGTCACTGTCGTCGCCCACGTGGGTGTTGAAGTCCCCAGTAGAACAACAGAGTCCCCGGTCGGTGCGTCTAGTCCCTCCCAGGGCCTGGCAGAAGGCCGGGTACTCGAGTACTCTGTTCTGCTGTTCGGCCCGTAGACCAACACTACAGTGAGAGACCTGTCCCCGACCCGAAGACGCAGGGACGAGACCCTCTCGTTCACCGGGGTGAACTCCAACACACAGTGGCTGAACTGTGGGGCAATGAGCCCACACCAGCCCGCCGCCGCTCCCCGCGGCCAACGCCAGAGAAGTAGAGAGTCCAGTCCCTCTCAAGGAGTTGAGTTCCAGAGCCCAAAACTGTGCGTGGAGGTGAGGCCGACTATATCTAGTCGGTACCTCTCAACCTCCCGCACAAACTCAGGCTCCTTCCCCCCCAGTGAGGCAACATTCCACGTCCCTACAGCTAGTTTCTGTGTCCGTGGACTAGGTTGCCCAGGTCCCTGACCCCAACCACTGCCTAGTTCACATCGAACCACAGGAGGGTGGGCCCACATCGTCCTTTCGGGCTGAGCCTGGCCGGGCCTCGTGGCAAAGGCCCGGCCACCAGGCGCTCACTTTCGAGCCCCAACCCCAGGCCTGGCTCCAGGGTGGGGCCCTGGTTGCGCCATACCGGGCGACATCATGGTCCTTGTTTTTATACTGTTCATAGAGGTTTATAAACTGCTCTTAGTCTGCCCCGTCACCTAGGACCTGTTTGCCATTGGAGACCCTACCAGGGGCATAATGCCTCAGGCAACATAGCTCCTAGGATCTAGGATCTAGGAACCTACTGAAGGGCTGTTCAGACTGCACGTGTCTGGTGTGAACAAGACTTTACAAGTTAACCCTGTGTAAAGTCACGTTCACACGCAAATAAAGTTCATGTTTGAATGACGTGAATTTGCTAGTGTGTTTTGAGCCGTGCGAATGTGAGAATCTGGCATTGACGTGAATTTCCAAAAGGGAGGGGCTTGCGAATGATGCAAAAAATTTGTCAAAGTTGAAAATTTTTAACTTTCTGCATCTATTTGCATCGCGTCAACCAATCAGGGGCCGTGTTCTGGTGGTGACGCAGGCCAGGGCTCAGGTCACTCTGTCCTTCTCCAAATGAGGTCCTTTTCTGGTCTGTGAAATTAATAGGCCTATTTAAATAACAAAATTATACCGTAGCCCGAATATTAGGCCCATTTGCTTGAATTAAAACACGTATATTTGGTTTAAAAAGAGATCAATTATGTGATCTTTAATCTATAGATCCACTGTATCAAAACTAAAATGATCGACGTGTCTTAAGTATAGTCATATTATCTGTTATTGACGACTGCATTTTCTCATTTAAATAACTGATAATACTAAAATATGCAAGTTAATTTAGTTAAATGACATAACAATAACATAATAAGAAAATCTGAGGTTGAATGTGTGAATAATTGCAACAGTGTGAAATGTTGACTCAAATATTCCATTAAAAATTATTTATTCCAAATAAATACAGACACCACAACGAAATAACAATAACTGTCTGTAAATGACATGTTATAGTTCACATTTTACAAAAATAATAACAGTTTAAACTTGCATCTAAACTAGTCAAAGCTGTTCATGTCTCCTCCACATTAAATAAAGCACTGTAACTCGTTGGATTCCAAGTTTGCCATTTTTCAAAATGAAAACAGCAGACGCAGAGGACACCGCGCAGACGCAGTTGATCCTTCTGGAGCGAACACAGTGAATAGAGCAGATTTACTTGCACAACCAAATTCCCAAACTCGAGCGTCCTGGACGTGTGAATGAAGCGAATGACTCAAAAAAGTCAAGTGGCAAACTAGGGGCGTTTGACGCGATTTGTTCACACCAGACGCTTGCTGTGTGAACACCTCTTTAAATTGCTCTATTAACACCACTGAGCTGCTCCAGACTCTGTGTTGTGCATTAAAATGGTATAAGAGTGACCTGTTCCTCTGCACCCACTTAAAAGTAAAACTAAAAGTATTACTCTTTTGAGCGAGGCATTAATCATGTCATATCTTTACCTTTGTATGTAACACTGCTGGGATGTCCACTTCACAGTTAGACTTGTGATAAGACCTGATTCCAATGTCAAACCTCTTCAACAGCAGAACCAGGATCAGAGGAGGCTTTTCCATCGTGTAAATCTGAAAACAGAAGAATGATAATAAGGGGACGCCATCTTAAACAGGTACTGCACATGTTTTATTACTTACGATTGTGGCTTCTGTTTTCTTTTTACATTTTTCACAATAAATCCCACTGAATGTCTTCTCTTTAAAGACCCCTTTAAGGCCCTTTAACTGAAAAACAGAATTAGTTTGAGCTGAAACATCAACAGTTTAAATTCTTTATATTTGCCTATGAGTGCGTATACATGCAGATCAGTATCCCGGTTATTAGCCATATCCTGGTTCTGTCAGTATTCGGGATACTGCCTTTACATGTACGCTGAGAAACCGGGACACTCAGGTCCCTGTGACATGATCAAATGTTGTGTCCCGATTTCTTGACATAATCTTACAAATGTGCAAGCACAAAAATTAACTTAAATCAATTTAATAAACCAGGAAAAATACAAACCGTGAGCTCCTTTAGCGTCAGAAGCTCGGGAGGTTTAACCAGCCTGAGGAGCTGTGAGAATCTCACAATTAAATCCCACATTAAATCTTCTGCATAAATAAACTCAACTTTACAACATATAAACCATAAACACTATAGACACATCAGCCCGTTTGATCAGATCATTCAGCTCTGATCACATTTGGGTTTTTTTGTTTTGTTTTACAGAAACAAAACTTAAGACCACATCGCTAATTTACATAAACTGTTAGTGGTGATAAAAACAACTCGCTCCTTGTGTTGCTGATGTGATCAGTTTCTGTTGGACTAAATGACACGACTCTGTGGATTATGTGCGTTATTTTTCGTGACAGAAGAGGTGCTGATGATGGTGAGTCTGTTCTGTGTGTGTGTTGTACAGGAGATAGTTCATGTTTTAACTTTTCAGCGATCAGAGTGCAGTACATCTGCAGGTTTAGCACAGCTTTTTATTTTACAGTCATTTCACTCATGTATGGTCACTTTATTTATGTTGGTCACTTTATTTATGTTGGTCACTTTATTTATGTTGGTCACTTTATTTATGTCTGGTCACTTTATTTATGTTGGTCACTTTATTTATGTTGGTCACTTTATTTATGTTGGTCACTTTATTTATGTTGGTCACTTTATTTATGTTGGTCACTTTATGTCGATCACTTTATTTATGTCCCTACTGTTGTGTTGAAAAGACTGGGAAGTGTTTGTCTTTTGCATGCGCACTCAACTTTATGTTGCAGTAACCCGGATACTGCATTTACATGCCACAAGTATCCCGGTTACTATTGGAATAAACCAGCTACAGTATCCTGGTTTCTAATAACTGGGATACTGCGTTTACATGCACCATGAAGAAACCGGGATACTCAAAAAACTCGATCATAACCGGGACATTTATGTGCATGTGTACGCACTCAATGATGCACTCTCTCAGTTTCATTCTGAAGATACTTCTATGCCACAGCTGCCCTGAGGCAGACTGACACAGATGTGGCTTTCGTCCTGCACCTACAGCCTCTGACCACCTCCAGTCAAACACACAGCAGTAAAAAAGTCAATTTGCCTAAACATCATTATCTCTGGATTGTACCAACCACTGAGCCGCCCTGGATGTGTTCCATAGCCAGTGGTAAAGTCCAGAACCTAGAAATCTCATTGCTGATCCAGTGTCCTTTAGAACACCGCGTTGTATCCCAGAGTTCTCCACGGAACGGCTGCAGTGAGATAGAGACATTTTGATCATTTCAGGAGGAAACAGATAAGTGACAGTGACAGACTCTCACCTCAGAGACCTCTTCACTCAAATGGTTCAACAGGAGCTCCAGATACTCGGCTGCACAACGCTGTTCATGAACTAACAAAGGAAAATGAAATGAGAGCTCACCACCAACATAATGGACTAGGGCTTTAATTTTTATTTAGTTTTTATTTTTTAAGTTTTTAACCACATATTGTCCAAGTTTTTTTCATCAAAACAACAAATATTCCTTTGTTGACTTTGACATGTACCTGGATATTTTTATAGACAAATATTCTTCATTTAATTAAAAAAATATCTCTGTTCACTTGCAGTGTTTTTTTTTTTTTTTTTAGTGATGATGTAATTGTTCAATTTTTCTCTGTTACTTGTATTCATTAATTATTTTTACATACATTCATACATACATTGCGTGTATGTAAGTATATATATATATCAGATCGGGAATCAAGATGGTTCCTCTCACACCTAACATAGCACGGTCAAGGGTTCTGACATCAACTATGCTGAACTCTCCCCCATACAAAACTGTGCCTGTTTCACCACCAGAGACTCTCTCAGCTCTCCCCTCACCCAAACCTCCCCCTACTCCACCTCCTCGGCCCTCACCTGGTCCCTCACCTGGTCCCTCACCTGGTCCCTCACCTGGTCCCTCACCTGGTCCCTCACCTGGTCCCTCACCCAAACTCTCCCCTGCTCGCCCTCCCCCGCCTTTCCCCAGAGCTGTTATCACCAAGAGCTGGACGCACAGGGCCTCTGCTGTCCCAGGACATACAGTCATGATAAAGGTAATATCAGGCTGGGGCCCTGCGATGGAGCTATAGCTCCAGTTACAACACGTAGACGGATTAAAAGAAGGACAGTTAGACTGTCTAATCAGAGACATTTAGTTCACATTCCCTGTAAGAAGATAACATCCAGTCCTACTGAAACTAATCAGAAACTTGCTGTGCTCAATGTCAGATCTTTATGTAACAAATCATTTCTAATTCATCATTTTATTTCTTCTTTTAATCTTGACTTTATGTTTTTAACTGAAACATGGCTTGACAAAAACACAGGTCATGCAGTGCTAGTGGAATCAACCCCTCCCAACTTCAAATTTGAATCTGAAAACACGAGCAAATAAAAAGGGTGGAGGAGTGTGTGCTTTTTTTAGAGATCATTTGGTTACACACAGGTTGTCATTTGGGGTGTTTTCATCATTTGAGTATGTTTCCTTCAAAATGGAGCTAAAACAATCACCGTCCAGACTCTACATAGTCATATACAAACCTCCTCAGCACTGTCAAAGTTTTATTGATGATTTTACTGAGATGCTTTCAGTTGTTTGCACAGACTTTGATGGTTTTAGTCATTACAGGTGATTTTAATGTACATGTGGATAATGTGTGTGACAAAAATGCCAAAGAGCTTAGTGTTGTCCTTGAAACTTTTGGTCTGACTCAGCATGTCAGTGAGCCCACTCACAACAGAGGGCACACTCTGGACCTGCTCATTACAAAGGGTGTAAATATTTCAAATGTCAGTGTGGTTGATGTTGCTCTGTCTGATCATTTCTGTGTCTTCTTTGACCGTCTGTTATTCCCAAACCACCGGCTGCTCCTACAGCTGTTCGAAGGAGACACATAAATGATAACACAGGTGCACTGTTCATGGAAATGATACATTTTGAAATTGCCTCATGTTCTAATGTTTGATGATGTGTTGAACTCTGTGACTTTGAGTGTTTTGAATGTTCTGGATGCCATCGCCCCGATAAAGGTTAAAATGGTTAAAGAGGCAAAAAGCTCCGTGGAGGAATGATGACTCAGTCAGGAGCACAGAAAAGGGAGTGACGGAAGTCAAACCTCCAGGTTCATTATGAGATTTACAGAGGAACAATGCATATGTACAACTACACTTTGAGTAAAACAAGAGAGAAGTATTTTTCGGACATTATTGGTAATTGCAGTAACAACTCTCATGTCCTGTTTGCAACAGTGAACAGATTAACAAACCCTCCAGCTCCACTGCCACTAGAACTAATTTCCACATCTAAATGTAATGAGTTTGCAGTTTTCTTTAATGACAAAGTTCAGGGCATCAAAAAATGCATCAATTCCACAACACAAATAACAAGCATGCAGCCACAGAGACACTTAGAGCTGAATCACTTTGCACCTGTAACTGACAAAACTGTTTTAGAGATCGTTACCAGTCTGAGTTCATCTACTTGCTGCCTGGACATGTTACCCACTAGATTTCTAAAGTCCGTCCTCAACAGTTTACTTTCACCACTCACTCACATAGTTAACATGTCACTTCAATCTGGAACATTCCCAAACGCGTTGAAAACTGCGGTCATTAAGCCTCTCCTAAAGAAGAGCAGTCTTGATGCCACAGTACTGAACAATTTCAGACCCATCTCAAATCTGCCGTTTTTTGGCAAAGTCCTTGAAAAAAGCTGTTTACCAACAGCTTACGAACTTTCTCCAAATGAACAACTCCTTTGATGTTTTCCAGTCAGGTTTTAGAGCCCACCACAGCACTGAGACTGCTCTTATCAAGGTGACAAATGACATCCGCCTGAACACTGATGCAGGCAAAGTCTCAGTCTTGATCCTGTTAGATCAGTGCTTCTCAAATAGTGGGGGGGGGGCGAGGCTCCGTCAAGGGGGGCGCGTTTGACCTCGGGGAACATGCTTTTTTATTTTTTTATTTTGATTTTTTTTACTGTCTTAAGGGCCGTTCACACCAAAGCGTCAAAAAACGCCTTGACGTCTCTCTATTTGGAGCCTTTGCATTTGAGGTTCAGACGCCCCCGACGCTCGTGTCTTTGACGCCGTGGACGAACGGGACAAAAATACTTGACGCGCGTCCGTTGCCCTGGAAACAAGAGCCCGGTCCCGCTCTTTTCCCGAAACAATGTCAGACCAGACTGAGAGAGACTTTAGTGTTTTTATGACATAAAACATCAGCGGAGGAGATCGGAGTCGACGACTGGGCGTGTTATATATTTACTACTCCACTAATGACACTGGATCAGTCCCGGTCTAGTCCTGGTCTAATACCGGTCTAGTCCCGGTCTGGTCCCGGTCTAGTCCTGGTCTAATCACGGTCTAGTCCCGGTCTAGTCCTTGTTTAGTCTCGGTCTAGTCTCGGTCTAGTCCTGGTTTGGTCCTGGTCCGGTCCTGGTGTAGTCCTCGGTGATTGTGGTGTATATATTTATTCTCCGTTCATGTTTGTGTTTCTCGTTCTGGTTCTCGGGTTTTTCTTCCTGATAATAACGTCGCTGCGTCTCTGGATACTCGTCCCTGATTGGTTGACGCGGCGCGTCTGACGCGAAAAGTTCAGCATTTTCAACTTCTTGACGCTGACGCCTTGGACGCGCGTCTTGGCCGCTGACGCCAAAACGCTGAAGACGCGCTGCGCTGACGCCAGATTCGCACCGCAAAAACGCAGGACGCTCTAGTCGCGCGTCCACATAGACTTTACATAGAAAGTGGACGCTTTGACGCTTTGGTCTGAACGGGCCTTTAGAATAAAGTGCAATTGCACTTCCACTACATTAGGGGGCAGTGGCGCTCTCATTGGCAGAGTGTGCGCAGGGAGCATTCGCTCGGTGGTGTAGGAGTTTTGTTTGCACTGAGCATGTGCGCTTTGCACACAGCACAGAGTTTGAGTATGAAGTGTAGACACGAAGTGTAGCAGACCCTCAAGTGACACCATGAAAACATATTTAACAGGGATGAGAAGACAGACGGAGAGAGACGGAGATAAAGAGACAAACGAAAAATCTCCCGAAAGCTAAGATGAGGAAATATGACGAAGCGTATGTAGCGCTTGGCTTCACTGTGACTACGGTGGGAGACGAGGAAAGACCGGTGTGTTACTGCGTCTAAAAATGTTGGCAGCCGACAGCATGAAGCCCAATAAATTAAGGCGTCACTTAAATACATTACACCCCAATCACTCTGATAAGCCGCTTGAGATTTTTCATCCCGCTTTGTGACTGCTACTTCAGTAAACCAGCGAGCGTTGTTGGCATCATATAAGGTGGCAGTGTTACGCACAGGTGAACTTATAACAATTTTATAGACAAATTATACTATTTATAGGCACGCGGGGGGGCGCAAGATGTTTTATTCGTCCTAGGGGGGGCATGACAGAAAATAATTGAGAAGCACTGTGTTAGATCTAAGTGCTGCTTTTGACACTGTCGATCATGGATCATGGAGACTAGAGGACTGGGTGGGCATCTCTGGTACTGTACTAAACTGGTTCAAGTCCTATCTAGAAGACAGGAAGTATCCATCCATCCATCCATTTTCGTCCGCTTATCCGGGGTCGGGTCGCGGGGGGAGCAGCCTAAGCAGGGACTCCCAGACTTCCTTCACCCCAGACACGTCCTCCAGCTCCTCCGGGGGGACCCCGAGGTGTTCCCAGGCCAGCCGAGAGACATAGTCCCTCCAGCGTGTCCTGGGTCTTCCCCGGGCCTCCTCCCGGCGGGACATGCCCAGAACACCTCCCGAGGGAGGCGCCCAGGAGGCATCCGGAACAGATGCCCGAGCCTCAACTGGCTCCTCTCGACGTGGAGGAGCAGCGGCTCTCTACTCCGAGCTCCTCCCGTGTGACTGAGCTCCTCACCCTATCTCTAAGGGAGCGCCCAGCCACCCTGCGGAGGAAACTCATTTCGAGCGCTTGTATCCACGATCTCGTCCTTTCGGTCACTACCCAGAGCTCATGACCATAGGTGAGAGTAGGAACGAAGACTGACCGGTAAATCGAGAGCTTCGCCTTTCGACTCAGCTCCTCTTCACCACAACGGTCCGATACAGCGACCGCATCACTGCCGAAGCTGCACCGATCCACCTGTCAATCTCACGTTCCGTCCTCCCCTCACTCGTGAACAAGACCCCGAGATACTTGAACTCCTCCACTTGAGGCAAAGACTCCCCACCCACCCGGAGAGGGCAAGCCACCTTTTTCCGGTCGAGAACCATGGCCTCGGACTTGGAAGAGCTGATCTTCATCCCAGCCGCTTCACACACTCGGCTGCAAACCGCCCCAGTGCACATTGCAGGTCCTGGTTCGATGAAGCCAACAGAACAACATCGTCCGCAAACAGCAGAGATGAAATCCTGTGGTCCCCAAACCGGACCCCCTCCGGCCCCTGACTGCGCCTAGAAATTCTGTCCATAAACACAATGAACAGAACCGGTGACAAAGGGCAGCCCTGGCGGAGTCCAACATGCACCGGGAACAGGTCTGACTTACTGCCGGCAATGAACACAGCTCCTGCTCCGGTCATACAGGGACCGGACAGCCCTTAGCAAAGGGCCCCGGACCCCATACTCCCAGAGCACCCCCCACAGGACACCACGAGGGACACAGTCAAATGCCTTCTCCAGATCCACAAAACACATGTGGACTGGTTGGGCAAACTCCCATGAACCCTCGAGCCCCCGATGGAGAGTGTAGAGCTGGTCCAGT